TAACACCAAGGCCACGGGTTCAGATCCCTATACAGGGATGGCCGGTTAGCTCACTTGAGAGAGCGTAGTGCTGACACCACCAACTCAAGGGTTAAGATCCTCTTACTGGTCATCTTTTTTTTTTTTTTTTTTTGAAAGAACCATAACAAAATAACAGGGCACCAAAAAAATATTAAACAATTTCTATTACTCCTTCTAGGATCCAGACTTACCAGATTTACAATCTGATCCTGTTCAACCTTTAAAACTTAAGAAGGCTGCAAACACACATATAAAATATACCCATGTATAATACAACTATTATTTTATTTGCTTGGCAATGCCCAGCCTGCCCTTCATTTTAAGCTCTTCTTTGGAGTTCCTAGAAAGGGACAGCCTAACATACTATGAGTGTACTTCAAAAAGTTTGTGGAAAGAGTCATATTACCTTTTAATTCTATTTTTCCATGCACTTTATGACGTATTCTCATATATGACTCATCCCTCCAGATACAATGGACTGAATCCAGGATAAACACTTAACTTGGACCTGGATGGATACCTGCTACTTGGCTTACTGGTGGCTAATCAGATTCTCTCTTAAATATTTGAGTGAGGGGACCTGGGCCTGGTAAATGATGGATGATCATAGTAAATATCTGAGAAATCACACTGCTGAGTTCTATAAAGCTACCCTTATATTGCTCTGGTGTCTGGTTATAAGCTCTACCTCAAATTCTGAGAGATATGTGTCCTATAACAAAGCATTTTTTTTAAAGCTAATTCAGTGGGTTTTTGTTTACAACAAGCAATGTGCCTAGAACAACAGTTCATGAGGGCAAATAAAGAGAGAAAATGGACTAATGTAAAGGGAAAAAATAATACAAAAGAGAAAAGCATGGAGCCAAAAGAGCATTTCTGGCAGTCACGTTTCTCTTATACTGAAGATTCACAAATTCAGACTAGGGAATCCTACAAATCTACACAATGCAGATAAACAGTGTTCCCTCTGATAACTCAGTAAAACAAAGAGAACTTACATCGGTGATTCTGCAGAGAGCCCTGATGGCCGGGCCTCGGTATACATCTTCCTTTCCAGTCATGTCCTTAGTCAGACTAAGAAAAATCAAATTAGTTAACGAGATCAATTAAAATCTTCTCTCCTATGGAGTCCACCCCTAGCTAATTCCCAATTGTCCCCATAACTATCTCAGTGCAACTACCTATTCAATGAATATTTTTAGAGCACATTCTTTGTACAAGTGCTAAACTATTGGTTAGTAAAAAAGACTTCTAAATCTTAAGAATATAGCAATGAGCAAAATAGAGTCCTTTGCCTTCATGGAATTTACATTCTAGGGGGAAGAGAGATAATAATCACATAAATGAACAAACAGAGTACATAATTTTAGGTACTGATAACTGGCATAAAAATAAGGACAATGGTAGAGAGAGTCCTAGGATGAAATCCCTCCAAAATTCTATAAACCTATCAGAATAGATATAACTTTTGAAAAGAAATTAACAAAAATGATTAATTCAAGAGGCATCTCTCCCAGGCATAGCTTTCTAAAATGACAGTCATCAATGTCTCCAGACCTTTCTGCTGAGCTTCAAAAATAGGCAGAGGAGTATGGGCTGAGCTACAAAATTCCACACACGAACGAAAACTGACCATCGATTTCCCCCCTTCCTCAACTATTCCACATAATCTGAAATAACCTACAACTCCAACTCACTCCACTAGGACACCAAGAGGAAAAAGCTGTGAATAACTGATAGTCCTTTCATTTTTCTTTTATCAACTATAAAAGTAATTCATTCATATAATAATACATGTTCAAAATACTCAGAAAAGTATAAAACATAAGGTCTTTTTTTTTTTTCTTTCTTTTTTTGTCTTTTTTCGTGACCGGCAACGGATCGCAACCCTCAGTGTCGCGCCCATACCGGACTGGGACCGGCAACGGGATCGCAACCCTCGGTGTTGCGCCCACCTTGCTCAGCCAGTGAGCGGCCGGTCTGGACGTGGGATCCAAACCCTCGGCGGGAGAGCCACCGCGCTCCCAAGCGGCGCACTGTAGCAGTGCGCCACCAGGCTGGCCCAAAACATAAGGTCTTAAGTCCTTCCTCACCTTCCTAGCCTTTAGTTTCACTCAATTAGAGATAACCACTGTGAAGTATCTTAAGAAATTTTTAAAAATGTATACAATCACAGAGACATTAAAATGCATGCCAATGGATCTTCACTCTTTTGACACCTTCCTCTTTTACTTAATATAACTTGAGAATTTTAACACAAAATTTTTTTAGATATCTATCCATATATTTTAATATCGAAATACAGTCATGTATTGCTTAGCGATGGGGACACATTTTGAGAAATGCATCCTTAGGTGATTTCATCATTGTGCAAACATCATACAGTGTACTTACACAAATCTAGACAGTATAGCCTACTACACACCTATAATCTTATGAGAATACCATTATATATGTGGTCCATCACTGACCAAAATGCCATTATGTGGCACTTACCTATATATCTAAAATACCTTTTTAATGGTAGCAGAGATTTCCATTGTTTAGATATAAATAATTTCTTAATCAGTCTTTTCCACAAATATTTGCATTTTTCTGATTGGATAAAAAAATCGAGGCTTCCATTAACCAAATTTGGAACAATAGCAGCATCAATACAAGTATATATAAGGACAGGAATGGTTTAGAGCACAAATAAAGAAATTCATTATTCTAGGTTGATGTTCAAAAAAATTTTGTTAAAGGCAAGGAAGTTATTTTTAAAGAATGTCAAGTAATAAATTTGAGAATAATGACAAAAAATTTTTAAAAATCACCATTTTCAACCATCAAAGTAATAAATTCAGACATGCATCATCAATTATTGGTTAAAAAAAACTGTTGAGGAAATAGATATTCACAGTTTCAAAGCAAAATATTTAGTAATTTTCGGGAAACAAGTATGGCAGGAATCCATGTTGCTTTCTTTCCCCCAAAAGGTAGCCATTATCCCAACTTAATGATTCTTTTAAAATTTTTGCATTGATTGGAAATGTCATCTTTTTATATACTCAGACTTTTGTAAAGATTGGAAATGTCATCTTTTATATACTAAAGTCATATATCAATTTGCATCTACATCTGTACTTTCTGTTACATTATTCTGTATTTTCCCTTTTCAATACAAATTCATTTTAATTACTATACTATACCATTATACAATTTTTTATATCTAGAGAGCAGGTATCTCCCTCATGATTCTTTTTTATCAAAATGATCCTGGCTGTTGTTACAAAGACTGTTTCAGATGAGATTTAGAATCATTTGTCAATATACCCTATTAACATTTTGCCTGGAAGTGCCCTACATTTATATATAAATTAAAGGAAGAATTCTTTCCATTTTTCAAGCTTTCTTTAAGGTCCATCTACAGCTTTTAAGTTTTCTCCTGATAGGCCCTATATATTTCTTGTTTACTTTTCAATGTTTCATTATTTTGTATGCCATTATAAATTAAACCTTTTCTTTCAATATATATTCTAGTAAGTATTTGAATATAGGAAAACTGTTCCTTTAATCTTCACAAAATCCCTATGAGAAGGGAATAGTATTATCCTTAGTTTATAGATGAAGAAACCAAACACAGAATGATTAATAACCTGTCTGGAAAGTAGCAGGGTATGGACTAAAATCTGGACAGCCTGGTGTATTATACAATCATTAAACAATAATAATTTTGCTACCTCATTTCTAATATTATATTCTTAATTATATTAGCTAATCCTTGCAGAATACTCATAATACTAAGCACTTTATCTTATTCCCTATTTAACTGGAATGCTTCCAGTTATACTGTAATGCTGGCACTGGGTTTAAGAAATACTTTTCTTTTAACTGTGTCAAAGAATTGTGCACCTATTCCTGTTTCTCAAAAGTTTTAACAAAAGGCAGGTATTAAATTTTGACAAATAACTTTTGGGCACATGAAGCTAACTGTGGATTTTTGCCTTTGACCTATTAACATAAGAAAGTATATGAAAAAATTCTTCATATTAAGTAATCCATGAGATGAACGCTCTTTATGGTGATAAATTTTATTTGCTCAAATTTTATTCAAGATTTTTCTATCAGAAATGATACGTAATATCATTCTTTAGTTTTCTGTACAGTACTATTTTTATATGAGAAAAATTTAAATAGAATCCATTTCTTCTACAGATATAGTCTCCTTAGGTTTTCTATCTTTTCTGGGGTCAGTTTTGCTAACTTGTATTTTCACAGAAAATCACTTACTTCAAACATTTTTCAAACTAATTTGCATCAAAGCTTATAAAACACTCTCACAATAATTTTTTGAATTTTCTCCATATTTATCATGATTTTACCTTTGTCCTAATTTTGTGCAAGATTCCTCTCTTTATTCTGAATCAGCTTTATTACTTTATTTTATTTTAGCTTTGTTCAAAAAAAAACTAGCTCGCTGGATTTATTTATTCCTCTCTTTATTCTGAATCAGCTTTATTACTTTATTTTATTTTAGCTTTGTTCAAAAAAAACTAGCTCGCTGGATTTATTTATCAAAGTTATTGTTTTTCTTTTCTTTTTCTTTTCTTTTTTTTTTTGTCTTTTTTGTCTTTTTCCGTGTCCGGCAACGGATCGCAACCCTCAGTGTCGCCCCC